CAGCCGCCCGAGGTCAGGCGCGGGCGACCGCCCCCCTTGGCCGCAGCTGGGCCGCCCCGCCCCAGAGGTAGCCGGGCGGCGGCCTCCCTCCGCGCGCCTCGGGCTGGCCCTGAGCCCGCAGCCGCCGCGCAGACGTTCCCCGCCCGCCGGCCTCCCCGCCCCCGGTCGCCCCTCGCCCCCGCGGGGCCTCCCGCTCCAGGCCGCGCTGCCAGCTGCTGGCGCCCCGCCCCGCCCGGGCCTCCACCCGAGGCCTTCCCGGGCTGACCTCTATCCGCCATCGGGCCGCAGGAGGGAGGGAGCGAGCGAGCGAGCGAGGGCGAGGTGGCCAAAGTTCCGGCGAGACCCGGGGAAAACATTTCTGCCTTGCTTCTCAGCCTCCCTCCCTGCAGAATGTTTCTGTCGGCTCAAAAAGGAACCGTAGAAAATTACACGTTTTCACAGTGTTTTCTGAGGGTTTGGAGGCTTGGGTATTTTTTGCTGAGAGAGGGACGAGAAGAGGTGAACCTGCGACCCTCGGGCTGTAGGGTGAGGACGGCCACTTAGCGTATTGAACTCTGCCAAGCTGCTCCGTCATATTTCGAAACACCAAGAAATCCCCTTTTCTTCACCTCACCGCAAGATCAGGAACTGAAATAGTCCACCCAGTAGCTTTGCAGACTTCAGAAGACTCGAGCTTTGTCCCTTTTTTTTCGTCCAGTTTCTCCTTTTACTGTTTCGGGGCTGCTTTCATGGGGGGCCACGTCTAGAGTCAACCCATTGGGGAAAACCTTGTGCTCACAGATTTTTTCCCCTTTCTCACAGGGAGCCTACCCAAGGCTCACAAGCCTCCTCCCCAGCGCTGCCCCCCCATGCCTCCCCGCGCCCCCATCGCGGTGCTGCCAGGTCGTGCCCCCCCCACCTCCCCTCCTTGACTGCCTCCTTTTCTGAACATGAATAATTCCACAGTACTTCCCATCTGTTATTACCATAGAGACAGAAAAGCTCGGCAAAGATAATGATGTTCTGTGTAGAACCGGTGGGGGGAGAACAGCATCTGCGAGTCTGGGGGATAGATTTTTCTGACCGCGAGAATATTCATAAGGCCTGGACTGCAGACCTGAGGTAGAAGACTGGACAGTCCCGAAACTTGCCACCGGGTTGGCTTTTGGCACCTGGCTCCTGTGACTAGCGAGAAGAAACAATTTTTAGAACCCAAGATGACTGATTTAAGAAGGGGAAAAAGAAGTGATTGCAAAACTGTATTTAATGATAAATATTTAGTGGTCATTTTATCAGCCATAAAATTACTGGCTAGCATGTCCAAGGGGCCTAAGAACCAAAATAAATTGGACAGTTAGATTTTTAAAAAATCAAATACATTATCCTTCTCCCTGTTCTTTTGATTTAGCTTTCAGCAGGAATCTGTTTTTGAGAAGAGGATTTTTCGTGCCTGTGCTTGTACTGTATAATGGTTTGAGAAATAGTGACAGGAAAATTTGGATGGAACCATTCAAGGTTTAAGGGCATTTCTTTTTTTCCAGCTATTTGTCAAAAGTTCAAAGTGTAGCACATTAAAATTCACTTTGCCCTTGAATTCCCAAGGTCTTGGCCTCAAAGGTACACGTTTGAATGAAAACAGAGAGCATTTACATATATCCAATGCAAATGAGGGGCCCCTTTCCAAGTCACATTTTTCTAGGCCTATTTAAGGATTTTCAGAAACTATCAGTAAAATTTATTGTATAAAGTAAAATTAAAAACACTGAAAGAAAATGATAATAGTTTTCTATCAGAAACAGAACTAAACAGTCATGGAAAATACAGGCCTGAGAAAAATAAGCACTATAAAGTAATGAGTATTGTAGTTCCAGGTACTGCTTTAGGTCTTCATCAATGTTGAAAAGTCAACCTAAATATTGGTCAGTACATAGCTACTAAATGCAGTTCACATGGCCTCCTGCTAACCTTGGCAGCCCAAAAGAACTGATTAAGACCACTCAGTGTGCATGTCTCCAAATGACTGAGGGGAGTGGAGTGGGTTTACCCATTGTTTGATCTTCTTTCATTACGTAGTAGGTAATAGTGAATACATGTATGAACGATCCAAAGTAACTGGTGCTAGTGTGTGCTTAGTGTAGAGTTCCTTCTTCAGTAGTTATGGCTGCCTGGCAATAATAGAAACCAAGAACTGAGAGATCACAAATGTGAAGTCCACCTCTGCCCTGTCACCTGATAGTTTGGAGGCAAATGCTTTCCTTTTAATTAAAAGGAATATGAAACTGAGAAAGGGTAGGAAAAAGTGAAAAATGTTACGTAAATTATTTTTTATTAAAAAGGGGGAAGAAATGTTAATTGTCATATACAAACACTGGTTTGTATTTTTGTTTATGTCTTCTGCCCTTTTCCAAGTACAGACCAGTTGTAGCCTGGTGGTCTTGCCTCCTCTTCCTCCATCCTTGACCACAATGGCCAGTAAATTTGCATGAAGAGTTTTTTTTAGCAGCAAATCAAATGCTGGAAGGTCCTTCAGCATCACTGAAAATTCTCAACCATTTCCTTTCCATCTCATTTTATTTTTTCTTTTTATGACTTTTGGTTAGTTAATATGATGATGACGGTGATGCTCTTTAACTTCGTTTAGTTTTTTTTTTGTTTTTGGTACTAGGGATCGAACTCAGCAGGCGACGAAACCACTGAGCTAAATCCCCGGCCCCGCTCTTTAACTTCTTCACAGCACTTGGCTCTTTTTCCTTCCTGCCCTTTTCCCTATCTATACACTTCACTCCCATATTTGTTTAGTACTATAGTCCTTGCCAGTGCGAAGTTCCCTCTTTCATTGACTAGGCTTTCTCCCCTGAAGTTTTCCTCTTATCTGCCAAGTCAGTGGATCTTGCCTCATTTTTTCATGCCTTAAAAAGATGAAAACCAGATGTTTAAAAACCTAATCTTTCCCTGAAGTGTTAGAACACCTTTTTTCTCAGGCTTTATGAAATTAGAAGGGAAGGAAGAAGAAAAAAAAATTGAACAGCCAGAAAGGGTATGATAGAAAAGTCATATGAGAAATGTTCTACCTTTAAATCTTTAAATTGTAAAAAAAAAAAAAAAAAGCATAAATTGATGTAACAGTCACAGGTGTTTTTTTATTGCCAGTTCTAGGAATTTCATAAGTGTTTAGGAAGTTTGGTAAAGTTTTATTTATTACATATCAGACTTTTTCTCTTTGATTCTATGTCTGAAAAAAAAAAGGAGTCATAATTAGCCTTATGATGTTGCCAAGCTATGATTTGTAGCATACAAGTTGAGAAATGTTGTCTAATTAGTAATGCTGGACCCTAAGTAGCTTAGAGTGCTTCACATATTATATACAGTATGTACTAGAAATTCACTTCCTTAACAACAGGGGAAGTTGAGGCAGAGTTTAGGTAACCTACTGAACCATATTGCTCATCAGTGACAGAACAGAAGTTAGAACCAAAAGCACTTGACCAACATCAGTGAAGTTTTCATTCTTCATTTCCTCACTCTTCCTGGTGTGCACTCAAATAAGCAATAAAGACTGATTCAAACTACCCAAAAAAGATTAAACATTGAAACTCGCAAGTTGGGTGCATTTATCACAACCTGCAATAACACTAACATAACTACATGCAATGCTGTCTGATATAGTATTCTGTTCTATTTCTTTGTATTTCAAACCCCTACTGTATATTGCAACCTGAAATTTAAGAAGGATTAAAGAATAAGTGTTAACATTTTTATAGTATTTAATTTTGTTAGGCTGTATTCTAAGCACTTTACACACAGTAACTCATTTAATTCTTACAACAACCCTATAAAGTGATGACTATTATTACCCCATTTTAGAGATGAGGAAACTGGCACAAACTTGTATCTAAGATCATACAGCTTGATAAATTCTTATTCTCAATATGAGAAACATTATACTTAATTTTCAAATTTGAGTTCTAGGCAGGATCAATTTGGATGTATTTTTTAAAGTTATAAAAGCTTTTTATATAATTTGAGGGTCACTAAAAGATTCTATCTCCCTTATTGGATTATGTTTCATAGTGTTTGAAATTTCTAGAAGATGTTTTATTCTATTAATATCCAGATTAAACTAAAAATGTGTTACTTGAAAGAGAGTAGACATTGTTACTTGTTATTATTAGTCTCTAAACCTATTTCAACAATAGTTCAAAGTAGGCAATTTTATCTCCACCTATATAATATGGAAAATGATATTCAGGATTTCTCTGAAATCTTTGCTACAGTTCATTGTCTGTATGAGATTAGTCATCTAGTAGAGTCCTGTTGTAGTGGAACACAAGATAAACTTTAGTTAAAGAAGGGTGTAGAAATAGTCTTATGCATGGTAAACCTCAAGTAAGGAAAGCCCAGGTCCAGGGCCAAAATAGGGAGTACTGGACTACCAAATGGTAGAGCGAGAATAGTAGTGGCCTCCCATGGGGTTGGCTATCCAAAACCACATTTCTCTTCCTGGCTCCTGCTCCCACCTGGTACACATGGTCACAAA